TTCCCTTAGTCTTGTTCGAACCTTGCCAAATATCTTTTTCTTTAAGGTAAAACTCCAGTCCCTTAAACACTGTCTTTACCAACCTCCACACCACCACAATCCTTAAGAGAAACACAATCTTTAAAAAAAAAAAAAAAAACTGTCAATTTTTAAAAAAATTTATAGATACTATCCAGTACCATAAATAATAAATTTCAAGACAAAACTGGAGCTACTATAAAGCCGAACTCTGATGTAGCCAAAAACCTGTAAAGGGATCTATTAGTCAGAAATGTTGGTGCTAGCCAAGTGTGGCAGAGAGGAAACTGCCCCCTACCCTCAAATGTACATGTTCCTAATCCCCAAAACCTATAATTATGTTACTTTACTCAGCAAAAGGGGCTGTTTTTAAAGACATGATTTAAATTAAGGATCTCAGGATGGGGAGATTACCCTGGATTATCTGGTTGGGCCTGATATAATCAAAATCCTTGCAAGTGAAAGAGGGAAGTAGGAGTGTCAAAGTCAGAGAGTGAAGGACCGATCTGAAGATACTACTCTGCTGGCTTTAAAGACAGAGGAAGGGCCCAAGAACCAGGGAATGTGGGTAGCCTCTAGAAGCTGGAAAAGCAAGGAAGAGTTTTCCCCTAGTCTCCAGAAGGGACACACCACGCCAACATCTTCCTTTTAGCTCACTGAGACCTATTTCAGAGTTGTGACCCTCCAGAACTGTAAGATGATAAATCTGTACTGTTTTAAACCACTAAACTTATGGCAATTAGTTACAGCAGCCACAGGAACTAATACAGCAGGTTAAAGCAAGGCACTACTCACCTGCCCATCTGCCAGGACACTTAGAGCCTTATTCTTCAGGTCCCTGTTGTACAGACATTCAGTGAAATGTTTCTACTAACAAATTATCTAGAAAATGACATAAGATGGTGGTAGTGAGGGAGAAGAGGGAGCCGCAGAGGAATTTTGGAGATCTGTCGGAATTTTCAGGCCTATTATCTTGCTTCCCTATAAGTACACATAACTCCTTTCTATTTCTATTATTAAGAAAGTTGTTTTTACAGTTCAATTTCTGGAAGACAACTTGCAAAAGCTGGGGAAGTGGCCACTTGCTTAATGGTTTGTTGTCTACCAGTTTATTTCATCATCTTGCTCTCCTTTATCAATTTACTTGACTTTTGAGAGGTTTTGGTTCTGTTAATGATAGACCTCCCCTAATTCACCTACACCCTTGGGCTGCTCTATCACCTCCTCTGAGCCACTGGAAAAGAGGAGTGCTAACAGACCTTGGCACAGGTAGAACTTACGAATTTGTATAAAGCCTAACTACAGGGACTTCCCTGGTGGCACAGTGGTTAAGAATCCGCCTGCCAATGCAGTGGACACAGGCTCAATCCCTCGTCTGGGAAGATCCCACATGCCGCGGAGCAACTAAGCCCGTGTGCCACAACTACTGAGCCTGCACTCCAGAGCCCGAGAGCCACAACTACTGAGCCCATGTGCCACAACTACTGAAGACCATGTGCCTAGAGCCCATGTTCTGCCACGAGAAGCCACCACAATGTGCACTGCACTGCCTGTGCACTGCAACAAAGAGTAGCCCCCGCTCGCCACAACTAGAGAAAGTCCATGTGCAGCAACGAAGACCCAACACAGCCAATACATAAATAAATAAAATAGATTTATTAAGAGGAAAAAAAAAAGCCTAACTACAGAGTTCAGTCCATGGACCATAGTATCACCTGGGAACCTGTACGAAATTCAGCATCAAGTTCTGTTCCACATTATTCAGCAATAAAAAAGAATGAAATCTTGCCATTTGTGAAGTGGATGGACCTAGAGGGTATTTTGCTAAATGAAGTAAGTCAGGCAGAGAAAGACAAATCCCATCTGATTTCACATATCTAAAAAACAAATGAACAAACATAACAAAACAACAGAGTCATAGATACAGAGAAGAAATAGGTGGTTGCCAGAGGGGAGGGGGTTGGGGGATTAGTGAAATAGGTGAGGGAGATTAAGAGGTACAAACTTCCAGTTACAAAATAAATGAGGATGAAATGTTTAGCATGAGGAATATAGTCAATTATATTGTAATATCTTTGTATGGTGACAGATGGTAACTAGACATATCACGGTGATCATTTTGTAATGTATAGAAATATCTAATCACTATGTTGTGCACCTGGAACATAATATTGTAGGTCAATTATACTTCCATTAATAAAATATGTAGACACTGGGAGGAAATGCATCAAAATGCAAACAATGGTTATCTCTGGGGGGGTGGAGATTATGGGTGATTGTTAATTTTTACTTTATGCTTTTATGTATTTCTAATTGTCTGCAATGAACACATATTGCTTGTAAAATTAGAAAGAAAACAATAAATGTCATTAAAAATGAAAAAAAAGTTCCTTTCCAGATCTTCTGAATCAGAAATTACATTTTAGACAGATCTCTAGATGATTTGTAAACACATTCAAGTCTGAGAAGCACAAAGAGCCATTGGCAAGGGTACTCACCATGACCCACTTACTATATTTTAGGGACAAATATTCTAATCAGATTCATACTTTCAGTTAATGAGAGGTTCTTAATTATTACAAAGATTTTATTTCCAAGCACAAAAAGTTTTCCTAAGGCATAAGTGAAAAACATGCCCCCGCCCCTGCTAGTACCCCTGCCCACTACTCCTGACAAGATTTGTTGAGATGGTGGATGAAATAGTGATTGTAAGGCCAACTGGCCCGAGGCAGGGGAACACAATCAGATTCACAGGTTGCATCAGACCGAAATTCTCCGGACCACCCAGTTCCAGAAACTGCCCTGGAGACATTCCGGACCACCCAGTTCTGGGGACTTTGAAACCAGCCCAGCCTTCCCGCCTTTTGAGGGGCGGGACTAACGGTCCCCCAGGATACCCGAAAAGACCACCAAATAAGGAATACCCTGCGCCCTCCCAGATTCACCACACCCCTTTCCCTTCTTCCCCTATAAAATCTTGCCCAACCCTCGCCCGGGTGCGACTTCTCTGGCCCCTTTCTCTCGGACCAGTGAACCTCGCCCGGGAGCGCTCCCTAATAAAGTTCACTTGAAGCTTTCCTCTGTTTCGCGGTGCCGTTTGTTAAGATCCGACCTTACAGTGATGGAAATATAAATATAAATTTTATATTTTTTAAATATAAAAAACTTTTTATAAAGTTTTTTCAAGGGCTAAACATTCATTAAATGTTCACAGTAGCCTTATGAGGTGGATATCCCCAAAGTACAGTTGAGGGAATATGTACCTAGACTCAGAGACATTAACTAACTTGCCATAGATCATTTAGGGAAGAGCCGGAATGCTAATCAAGACTTGCAGTCTCCAAGCCCATCCTTATAACTACTACTCTACGAAGCCAATCCTCATTATTTAAAGATTCTGTATTTGCAAATTCTCCTACTCACTAAAACTTATTTATAACCCCAAAATCATTACTCACTGCACTTTCCCAATTTTTTGAGGACAGGTACATACATGAGCAGAACAGCTAAAATTGTGAAAAACCAGATGCACATGTTCCCAGTATGTGATGCTTTGCCTTCTTATTTCACCTCTCATATTTTAAGCAAGTACCCTTTTCAAGGTCTACTTAGCACCACATTTTTCGCATTTTGTGCTTTTTGTTGGTGAGTGTGCAGTTTAAAATGGTCCCCAAGCAAAGTGCTGTCTAGTGTTCCTAAAGGCAAGAAAGCTGCCTTACAGAGAAAACACATGTGTTACATAAGCTTCGCTAAAGCGCTACTGGCAGTGAGTTCAATGTTAATGGATCAACGATATATATTAGATAAGGCAAACAGAAACACACATAAAACAAGGTTATGTACTGATCAGCTGACAAATATGCTGTGACCAGAGGCTCACAGGAACCAAACCCTGCATTTTCTCTAGGGGCAATGATTCAGTGTTTGCTAAGATGGCGTTCACGGTAACTTCACAGAACATAACTGCCGCAACTGTTGTTACATGTACTAACTTGACATGTAATGGCAGGAAAGGCACCAAATTATAGAGCGTTTTCAGAAACAAGACACCATTTTCTCCAACTCAAAAACAATAGTTGAAGGTTCTTGACAGGATAACCCCAAGGACTGGTAATGGTGTTATTTCATAGCTTACAGACTAAAAACACCGGAATAATACAATGCACAAAGTCAGAAAATGAATATTACATCACACAGACAAAGATCAAGCAGTGGCTCTGTGAGGTGCATGCAAGATGATTCAAGGGGAGAAGGGAAGTGAATACAATAACATTCATTTACACTTATTTAAATCTCATCTTTAAATTCCAATTTACTTTACAACTTAATAGTACAGTAATATGTGTACACAATAAATTCTATTGGTAGTGCCTGCCTGCTCCAATTCTGCTGATGATGTACGTGACCAAAAAATGTTGGGAGATCACCACTGTAGAGAATCAAAGTTAGCGCTTGAAAAGAAAATAAAAACTCCAGAGGCACACGTCCTGCAGTGGGCTGGTGGCTTTGAGGACTCGCATGCACTGGGAACCATCTATTGCTGCTCTGTCCCCAACACATTGTGAGGATCCTCACAAAGATATCCCTCCAGGCATCAGTTGATTCATATGAGAAATTAATTAGCTGGTTGTGACACTGATTAGATGATCCAAGCTAGGAACCCTTCGCTTTCTAGAAATTTGACCAAAGAAAATAAGACATAATAGCAGGAAGTAAAAACATTGTTTATTGTTGCCCGGAGCCCAAAGGCTGAAGGCATGCCCTGATAGAGCAACAGCCTGTCCTCAGAGCACCCAAACTGGGAGGATTCTGTGGTATCCCATAAGATATCCAGCACTGTTAGTGTCATCTTATATAGTTAAGTTGCATCATATACACATTCAACTCTAAGTGCTCAGCAAAAAGAGAGAGAGAGAGAGAGAGAGAGAGAGAGAGAGAAAGGGAAAAAAAAAACACATAACCAGAGCTGGCAATCTGTCTGCCATTCTACTCAATGAAGGTGTTCTGTTCCCTTGGACAGTCTCTCAGTTCCTCAGTGTCTCTTACAGCATGAATGGTTCATTGTGAGGCTAAAGTTTGACACAATATATTTTTCATCTACATCACCTAATCCCAAACCAACTTCCTCTGATACTCAAAGGAAGAAGCAGGGATATGTTTCAACCCTGAAGGAAAAATGGCTGCATATGACTTACTGAAAGACGGAATCAATCTCCAAAGAGAACTGATTTCCTAAGGGTAGTTCAAGGGCAATTTTTGAAAATACTCAACTTTCACAGTGTACGCTGACTGTAGAAGCAACCCCCCAGATAAAGTGAGACTCAACTATAGTTATTCTGTTCCAAGGGCTCACTCTTATACCTACCACCTAGAGGTGGTGTATATTGAAATTTGCTGCCATATACTTTTATGGTACTTCTTACTGATTAAAGTGCTCTCATACCAGCTGTGTCATTTAACACCCACATGGCCAGGCAAAGAAAATGGAACGAGCACTGTGGTTCCCATTTCAGAGATCGAGTGCAATAATGGAAAGAGTAAGAGTTGAGTCAGACAATTTGGTTTCAAATCCCAGGCATACTGTTCAATTTTTCAGAGCCTTAGTTTCCTATCAGTAAAATGCAAAGAGTACACACACCTCACCAAGTTTTTGAGGATGAGTCAAGTATACAAGCTGCAGGTATACATTACTCAATGTTTCCTTACACCATTCCACAGGAAGGAGGGCTACAAGTTCACACACCTAATGTGACTAATAAAGCCCAAGTAGAACAAACATCGCCCAATTCCCAGCTCCATGCTCAGAGGTCCAAGAAGCATATAACTTAGCATCTCTTTAAAAAGTGTTCAAAAAGATAGAGATACTCTGGTAAAAGTTTTTCTGGTTCAAGTAAATTTGTGACATGCTAGTCTCTTTAAGGCTCACAGTGTGTGTGTGTGTGTGTGTGTGTGCAAGTGTGTACATGATATAAAGGCTCTGAGAAGGCGTGCAATAAAGAAACCTGGTTGAATAAATATAGAACATTCCCCCAAAGTGGATTTAATAATGGAAACCTTTTCTGCATAATTACTAAAAACAGCCACACAAACATAATGTTCTTCTGAACATACTTTTAGAAACACTGGTTTTGGTAAATTAATGTATAACAAACTAACAGACGATTATATTGTAATAGATTAATATTAATAAAAATAATAACAGATTATAGAACAAGGCACAAGAAACTACCCTTTAAACAAGACCCCGAATCATTTTTTGGCAGTCTGGTGTCAAATCCAAAAAAAAAATCTATTTGGGAATTCCCTGGCGGTCCAGTGGTTAGGGCTCCACACTTCCACTGCAGGGGCCTGGGTTCGATCCCTGGTCGGGGAACTAAGATTCCGCAAGCCAAACAAAACCAAAGAAACAAATCAAAAACAAAAAAAATCTATTTAGATCATCAAGGCATTTTTATTCTCAGAAAAATCTCAGGATAAGTCTTTCATAAACAAAGATTCCAAGAAGTGGCTCGTGTCATCTTACAGAAGACATAGTGGGTAAAAAAGGTGAAAGAGACACATAATGTTTTGTTACAAAATTGATTTGCATGAGGTATCTTACTCCCTAAATCAACTTTCCAAGAACGCTACATATGCCATATAACAACTACCTGTCCTGTCATTATCCCTGGTCTCCTGATAACAGTGGCAAGCAAGAGAAAGCCAGAATGGAGATAGTGACTTGTAGACTATAAACCACAAAGATGAGGAATCCTTTTTATCTTTGAAAACTACAAGAAAGCAGTTATTATTTTTCCTACTTTGTACTTTCCCTCCTTTCTCGGTTATTACTGCACGCAAGCACTTCTAGTGAATACTTTTATCTTAAACCTCTAGAAGTCAAATAAGAGAAGACTAGGCCCGAGGAATTCTTTAAAAAATTATATTAATATTTGATATTTACTTATCCTGGCAAATACAATATATATATGAAAGGAACCTGCTCTAATGCAAAGTTGTAAGTTTGTGAACTAGGTATAGACAAGTGTTGGTTAGCACTGACATCCTAGGAGGAAGGCTTTTGGTAAGAACTTTAAGCTTCCATGGTTTTTCGAAGAAAATGAACGGAATCTAGACGTTTGCTAGCCTAGTCCAGTAACATACAGTGTGCATTTCGGCCACTAAGAGCAGGAGTGGGAAAGGGCCAAGAGCAACCATTACCGCCTATCACCAGGGGTACCTGAAAAGTCATCTTCATCCTTCAGCCTTCCCATTTTACTAGACTAGAAGCCTCAAGGACCACTAGATCGCGGCCGCCGCCACGCCAGGTCCAACCCGCCACAAGGCGGAAGCTCACCAGCGAGTCGACGCGGCGCACACCTGCCCGGCGGGCGGCGCCCACAACGCTTCACCTTGCTGCGGCGTACCTGCCCTCCTCGGCCCTTCTTCACCACCACCTCCATCCCTTCCCACCTGCAAATAACCGAGGGCAGGGACGCGGGAAGGTGAAGACGGTGAGGAAAAGCATCCCCGCAATCCGCCGCAGACTACCTCCTCCCATCCCAGAGCCGCTGCAAAGCCACATCGTTTCTCCCACGCCTCGTGTCTCTAGTGCAAGGTCTGCAATAGTTTAAAATTTTTGTTTTAAAGCACAAGTAACTTCCCCGCTCCCTTCCGCCCCTCACCTTCACGAAAGCAATCGGGGTTGTGGTACCTTCGATATCTAACAGGATCACAGTGACTTCGGCAGGCACCGAAAGCACAACCATTTCCCCACCGGCTGCTACTACGAGAATCGGCCTACTGGTAGGGAGGGCGGAGGGCCGTGCCGGCTGCGCCCAGCAAACTGCTGGGCTTCCGACAGCCCCGAAAAGAGTCCCGGAGCGCACAACCGCGCGCGGCCTGACGCACGAGGCGGAGAGGACACGTCGGCGCCCCTGAAAATAGAGAAACCCGCAGCACAGGGACCTTGAACTCGCAAGCTGCCCGGGCCTGGAGGCCTAGACCACGTGGGCAGGGAAATGGGGCGGTCCTCGCGAGGTTCCGATGGGGCGGGGAGAGGTAATGGCACCGACGTCGATTGGCCGCTAGAGGGCCTCTAACCCGATCAGTCAAAATGGGCCTCGCGTGGGCGGGAACAAAGAAGCGAACGCGGGAGCCCGGTGCGCGGGCGCGCGCTCTCCGCAGACTGGTTGAGCGAGCGGGAGAGGCCCGGGGCACGTGCAGACGGGAGCCCCGCGAGTGGCGCGCCGGGGATGTGAGTGCCCCTTGCCCTCTACGGCACCTAGCCCCCTCCCTGCCCACGGCCTCCGCTTTTGCATTTTTACAGTAATCCGACTGGGCCCGCGCCCCTCCTCCCGTCAGCCAGCGAAAGAGGCCGTTTGCATCCCGGTCAGCCTGACTGCGTTGGCCTCGGTTCTGGCCGAGCGGCTAGGGAGGCCCGCCGCGCCCCCTCGGCCCGCGCGCCTGTAGCTGCAGCGGAAGAGGCCCCCGCGCCGCGCCGCTGTCCGGAGGGGCCAACGCGCGCCCGCTTCCTGTTCGGCTGCTTCCAGCCAGCTCGAGGACAAAACACGCGTGCGCGCGGCGGACGGCAGGGCGCGCTCGCCGCCTCAGCCACCGGCGCTGGGCGCAGTCCGCCTTTTTCCGGAGCAGCGCGGCCCCGGTACCAATCGATAGCAGCAGCTCCGCACTGGGGGACCGAGGGCGGAAAAAGGCGGGGTTGACGGCTCTTTGCTGGGAGTGGGCTGGACCGGACGCCAGAGACAAAGGCTCTCAAGGCAAGAGGGGCTGTGACGCTGCTCGGGATTTTTGACCCAGGACTTTTCGCCCCTTCGTTTTTCTCTTCTGACGCTCTTTTCCCAAGCCCGCGTCCCTTCACCTGCGACCTCGTTCCTCAGCGGAAGGGCCGCGATGGAGGTCCCGCCCCGGCTTTCCCATGTGCCGCCGCCATTGTTCCCCTCCGCTCCCGCTACTTTAGCCTCCCGCAGCCTCTCCCATTGGCGGCCGAGGGCGCCGCGGCAGCTCGCCCCACTCCTCCCTTCGCTCGCTCCCAGCTCCGCCCGGCAGGGGGCGCGCCGGGCCCAGCGCCACGTCACCGCCCAGCAGCCCTCCCGATTGGCGGGTGGGGCGGCTATAAAGGGAGGGCGCAGGCGGCGCCCGGATCTCTTCCGCCGCCATTTTAAATCCAGCTCCATACAACGTTCTGCCGCCGCTGCTGCCGCGACACGGATTGCACGCCAGCGCCTCCCGGCCGATAACTCAGCCGCTATGGAAGACATGAACGAGTACAGCAACATAGAGGAATTTGCAGAGGGATCTAAGATCAACGCGAGCAAGAATCAGCAGGATGACGGGTACCGCACGCTTCTCCTCTTTCCCCCCTCCCCCAGCGCTCCGCATGCACCCCTTCGTCCCTCGGGGGCCGCGTGCTGCCCCTGTTCTTTCCCCAAGTCGATTCCCCGCGTGCCCGTTGGGCCTCACTAGGTTGGAGGGAACAGGAAAGTAGGAAACGGAGGTGGGGCGGTGACTCGAGAGGCCCGCGGGAGGTGGGGGAAGGGCAGAGGGGTTGGAGGCGGAGGGCGGCGGCGTTTGTGTCCCGAGTGCGCAGGCGCGCGTGGGGCCCGAGGGGGAGGGGCCGGCCGTGCTGTGCCCCATGCTGCAGCTGCAGCCGCCTCTTCATTGTGTCTGTGTTACGGTTCCGCGCAGTTTTCAGGGGGAGGATTTAGGGAACTTCTGGTTTGGGAACCTGTAGGCGACTGGTACCCAGATTCCCAGTACGTCTGATGATGAGTTCTTTTAGGTGGAACGTTGGCTTGATAGTTGAGGAAGACGGTGAGCCTAAGTTGTGTGGGATCAGTATAGAAAGTTGGATTTTCTAGTCGGGAACAATCTTTACCATGTATTGTTGGCCTCGTTTAAACTTGGCATTGTGCAGTGAGGAGAGCAAGGTGTCCACCGTTTTGAATAAGTGAGGAACTTGGGGATCTTTGTGGTCTTCGTGTGTGTCTGTAAACGGGTTAAATTATTTGTACATCAGGATGTATTTCCCCATGCTTATTTTATACTTTTATTTCATAAACGTAATTTCAGAATTTAAGTAATCGTTGTAGTTGCTGCTAACCTTAAAAAACAACTTTTATTTCTAGTAAAATGTTTATTGGAGGCTTGAGCTGGGATACAAGCAAGAAAGATCTGACTGAATATTTGTCTCGATTTGGGGAAGTTGTAGACTGCACAATTAAAACAGATCCAGTCACTGGAAGATCAAGAGGATTTGGATTTGTGCTTTTCAAAGATGCTGCTAGTGTTGATAAGGTAGGAACATGTTTCGCATTGTGGTGCTTTTGTGTGTTTCTTGCAAATTGTTCAGAGGGTTGCTTGTATGTTGTCAGATTAAATAAATCTGTCTTTTAGGTTTTGGAAATGAAAGAACACAAGCTGGATGGCAAATTGATAGACCCTAAAAGAGCCAAAGCTTTAAAAGGGAAGGAACCCCCTAAAAAGGTTTTTGTGGGTGGATTGAGCCCAGATACTTCAGAAGAACAAATTAAAGAATATTTTGGAGCCTTTGGAGAGGTGCGCTCTGCTTTTACGTTTACGTGTATTTTCATTTGATATGTTTATATAATGTTTATCCCTGATCCAGTTCTTACAGAGCAAACTCAATGTTGGATGAGGGTGGGATTAAATTATTGCTCAAGTCCCTTCCAGTCACCGTACCTTAATCAGTGCTTGCTGTGTTATAATGGAAACTAGTGTCTAATGGAAACTAATTCAGCAAAAAGAAGGATGCTTTGGTGTGGTTAGGGTTTGGATTTATTAACTAGTGGCATCTGTGGAGTAAGAAATGGTATTAAATAAGGTTTTACTCTCCCTTTTCAATGCTCCATAGATGAAACAGATCACTCTAGTTTCATGTGGATAATAAAGCGGTGGTTTATACAGAAGTTATTTCGTTAGAATGACATGTTATGTTGAAGCTTGAAAAGGACTTGTGGCATTCTAAAACATCTTGGTAGCTTTTTACCATTAGTGGGTGACCTTGAGTGTGTATCTTGATTTCAGATTGAAAATATTGAACTTCCCATGGATACAAAAACAAATGAAAGAAGAGGATTTTGTTTTATTACATATACAGACGAAGAGCCAGTAAAGAAATTGTTAGAAAGCAGATATCATCAAATTGGTTCTGGGAAGGTAAAGCCATTTTGATTATAGTAAATGAACAATATCCTTTTCTTTTCTTAAAGTGAAATTTCTCATCCTGTTTTGAGAAGAAAAACAATGGCTTGACATTAGAATATTGGTAATAATTCTGTTTGCTTTTTAAATTTTGTTTTTAGTGTGAAATCAAAGTTGCACAACCCAAAGAGGTATATAGGCAGCAACAGCAACAACAAAAAGGAGGAAGAGGTGCTGCACCTGGTGGACGAGGTGGTACTAGGGGTCGTGGCCGAGGTGAGACTTAATTCCTGGGCAATGACTCAATGCTGTAAGCTATAAACTGCGGAATATGAATAAGCCCATAGGAAAGTGAAGCCAAATTTAAACTGTTACAACATGGAAACTGCTCAGCTTAGTGGGTGGGCTTTTGTATTTACTGGTTTCACCTTTTCAAACAATGGCCACTCTGACAGTGTCATTACTGATGGGAAAATAACACCATTAAACGTAATTAAGATTACATGGAACACTTTGGCCTGATAGGTTTTCTAGGGCAGGAGTCCTTGTTTTAAAGATAAACACTCTGTCTTCTCTTTTGTCCTGATTTTTCATTGAATTTCGGAAGCCTGATACTGGCACAATTGGACTTTCTGCCCCCTTTTTTATGCCAACTGTAATAATACTTTCTTGGTCAGTTAGCAATATAGGTATCCATTCTGCCTTTTTAAGATTTGCAGAGTGAGGGACAGGAACGCATCATTTTATGTTAGGATTGGGGGTCAGAAGTTGTTTCCTAACAATCATTGTGCATTGTTTCAGGTCAGGGCCAAAACTGGAACCAAGGATTTAATAACTATTATGATCAAGGATATGGAAATTACAATAGTGCCTATGGTGGTGATCAAAACTATAGTGGCTATGGCGGCTATGATTATACTGGGTATAACTATGGGAACTATGGATATGGACAGGGATATACAGACTACAGTGGTAAGAATATTTAACTTAATTTCATAAACCAATGGTACTAAAATTCGGTGTTTAAAGTACAATCCCATTCTGAGACTCTGTGTGTGTGGGTGTTTTCTATTTCTTGAAGTGTTTGGAGTTAAATTTTTGAGACATTTAATAGTCAGGGAGCTTATACTGATAGACTTCAGTCATTACAAACATTCTAGAATGTGATATGTGACTAGTTTATAATGACTTTTAAAATATCTGGTTATTTTAATTGCCATGGAGGATTTTGCATATTTAATAGTTTTTTAAATATACAGTGAAACCATTTCATTAAAAGCTAAGCATAATCTTTTGTTTTTTCAAAATAGGCCAACAGAGCACTTATGGCAAGGCATCTCGAGGGGGTGGCAATCACCAAAATAATTACCAGCCATACTAAAAGGGGACGTTGGAGAAAACAGGTGTGTATAAGAGTTCAAGACACCAGTGGAAATTCTAATTTAATTTAAAGATCAATAGACAAATGAAAAATAAGTGAAAACAAAATATCATGTAGCCTGTTTTTACTAAATTGTTAATTTTTTACTTGCTTTATGAACCTGTTTTGCCTAAAGTGTCTATAGATCTTTAACTTTAAAGTTTTATCTCACTTTCTTTAGTATTACAGAAAAACTTAAGAGTTTTTCTGTTTGCTTTGTGTACCAGGTGGTCTAGAGGAATAATTAAACTTTTTTAGAACTATTAACAGGTAAAGTACTGAAATGGGTACAACTTAAGGAAAACAGGAATGTTGTCTTCTAACTCTGACATTATACCTTGTTTGTACCCGCCAGCGGGAACTTCATTGCAGGCCGTGTGTCACCCTGACCACGTCTATCTCTGGGGGTCGCACGTTGCGGGCAGAGCGCAAGGCATACACCAGAAAACGCTGTCCTGTGGTATGGTCTCTTCCAACTTCATGTACCAGCGTAAAGATTAAAGTGGAAAACTTCAGACTTTGGCTTCTTTTTTAATCTTTTTGAAGATTAAGTGTCTAAACTTAACTTAAATGGTTTTTTACAGGAGTTAAAGTACATAAATGCCTTTTTACAGCTTAATCATTTTGGTCTTCTGTTTAGTGTTGTATTTCAATTGTGGAGCCTCATTTTAAGTGTTCATTTAAGATTTAATGCTTGCTTTTTCTTTTTATAGCTAATAGTGAAATCTACAAACCAAAACAAGAACTTTAAAATCTGGGATATAAATTAAAGATCATATGCACACAGAAATTTGTTTTCTTGTAATACAAGCCTATTAGAAATCCATGTTTGTAATAGCATTGTACGTGGCTTACTAGAGATGTTTCTAGTAGACCTTGAACCTAGCACAGTTCAACCTGTGAATATGGGAAGACTGCATTCCCAGATTTTCTAAGTAAATTTATTTTAATATCATTTGGGAACTTCAGGGTAAATTTATTAATTACCCGAACTGCGTTTTGCCAATGAATTTGCATGTGATCTTTAATTATTGAAGAAAAGAATAAAGTGAGAACTTAAAACAATTCATGAAAGTGGACCTTTGAAAGCTTGTCAGAGTTGCACAAATCTAATTGCCATTTTGTTTTTGTTTTTAGGGAGAGATTGCTAAAGTAACCCATCTTGCAGGACGACATTGAAGATTGGTCTTCTGTTGATCTAAGATGATTATTTTGTAAAAGACTTTCTAGTGTACAAGACACAACTGTGTCCAACTGTATATAGCCGCCAGTTAGTTTTTGTTTTTACTTTGTCTTTTGCTATCTGTGTTATGACTCGACGTGGATTTGTGTTTATACAAATTTTATTTGTATGATTTCATGTTAAACCTCAAATAAATGCTTCCTTATGTGATTGTTTTTCTGCGTCAGGTACTAAATAGCCCTGTAAAAGTGTAATTTTAAATAAGCAATAATTAAGGCACAGTTTATTTTGTAGGGAGTGTTGATCCATAGGGAGAAACTGTGGTCCTTTACAAATAGCCAGCTACAGTGTCTACTCTGTTCTCTTTTTGTTAGATGTATTCTGTGTTCTAAGGCTTCATTTCCCTGTTAACTGAGGCTTCCACATACCTTTAAGTAATGTTGTTTTCTCTTTGTGTATCTGGAGACTTTGTCATGAAAGTTTCTGTGGCGTAGTTATAGTGTTGTGATGAGTGGAAGCTTTCTAGTAGACCATAAATCTTCTGGTTATATTTTGAAAAGTAACTTTTTAATGGCACAAAGCATGCTGGTAGCTCCTTTTGTGAATAGAAAATATTTTGCTTTGCTCTTGTCTCTGGAAAGGCATTTGTTACGACTTGCTGTATTCAGTGGTCTGCTAGAAAGAGCTTTGGCTAATCATAATACCATAACTTTGTTTTCTTGATTAAACTGTCTAAATATACCCAGGGGGAAAAAACACTTGAACTGTGTTATAGGAGCCACAGTTTAAGAATATCAGATGTAGTTACATTTAACACAAGGATTTTGGCAAATAGGTATGAAGTTACTAAAATTTGAACAAAAGTTAGATTAAAATATATGACGTAGTGGATGAGTAACTAAATTAATTGTATACTATTCTGTTGGTATTATGTCACAGCAAGCACCAAACTGAACAAAATGTTTTCTGTTGGGGCATTTTTAGGAAGCTGTATTGGGTGTTAACTGTTACGTGGTGTGAGTTCTTAGAAAAAATCATGGTAGTAAGTTTCATCATTTTTAGCGCAGTTAGTGCATGAGCTGAATAGTTAAGCATATCCATATTCAAACGTAAAAGGAATAGTGGGGAAAGGTATCCCTTAAATCTTATGTAAATGCAAATCTAAGTGTGACCAAGTCATGTCATTACAACAGATCTTCTGGTGCATTAAAAGTTTTAGCTGTAGATTTTGGAGGATGTCCTGGGTAAACTCAAGTTTTGAATTTTACATTCAGTGTAGTTATTGAATTTAAGGTTTTTGTTTTTGTTTCTGTGGTTCCATGTTAGCCATTAGGATTGGCATACAAGTTCTATGTGGAATAGTTGACCTCACCTTCAACCAAGTGTAAATTTTTTTATGCTAATGAACCTGCCTTGTTTTATTTGGTGCCTGCAACTTTCTTTGTTCTGATGATGTTTGTACTTGCTGGGCTATCAAGTTACAATGCTTTTGGCCTTTTGCTCCTGTTTCGCTATTTGACCGTACACCTAGGCCAAGTACCAATGTTGGCTGTTGCAAGGGATTGTTTGATTTGTTCAACATGCAACCTTAGGGAACAGAAAGGAGATTTTCATTTTAAGTTATCTTGTCAAAGTCAGTAGGTGCAGTGTCTTTAGGGCAGTGAATCCTGTAAGTTCAAATTTATGATTAGGTGACAAGTTGACATTGAGATTGTCCTTTCCCTGATCAAAAATGAATAAAGGCTTTTTAAACAAAATCCAAACTCTTCAGTCAAGTCTTGATATATATGACTTTGAAGAAATACATCTAGAGATTATTGAGGTCTTTTAGAAAAACTGAAGTACCTATGACAAACATAATTAACTTGTATATTCTTAAATATGCTTCCTGAGTTGTTTTGAGCAAGTTCTATGTGTTGCTACTTACCCTGAAAGAAACCTAATTAGCAGTTTTGTTGATTAACATGTTAGTATTCTGTAGTCTGATGGCTACATTTACAAGATTAGGGATTTAAGAGTTAAACTGTCATTGGGATACTAACATGGATGAGCAGAGCATTTATTTCATTCTCTTCCATGCATCTTTTTCATAATGGTGACAGTAACTGGACCCTTTGCTAATCTTACAAATTTCAATACAAAAAAACCTGAGAAATTAATTGCTATAGGTTGCAAGTATTTGATAGGATATCCACCACAGGATACTATGTTTCACTGATGAAAAAGGTGATTCAAGGACACTGCAATTATAATTGCACTTTTAAATGTAATTTTATATAAACTGCAATTTTTAGTTACAGGTGTGTGTGTGTGTGTGCGCGCGCGCGTTTCTGCCATTTGAATTGCTCCTAGTGTTAAGCGAAGTCAGAAAATGTCATTCTGTAAAAATCTCTCTCAAACTTTCCAACTTAATAGAATTGCCATCTACTGTGGTCTCAACTTTCTGAGCAAAAGCAATACAACTTTGTTTTCATGTAAAGTCATTCAAAAGTGTATTGCCATAAAAATGTAGGCTGTTCCTTTAGGATTGGTTGAGGTTTTATATTTGTCTTGAAATAGTCAGATGTGGGATTTCAGTGAGTTTGGGTTGAATAGAAAAAAGTGGAAACTTTGACTTAACCACTGTGTTTTATAAACTGTAAGAAAGAATACAGTGGTATTCTATGGATTAGAGGGTAATGCTGAACATCCTAAAGATTGTTGCTTTAAGTGGCAGTTTAATTCCTGACCTTATTCTTTGGTCTACTTATTCAAGAGGAGTACCCCCATTTGAGGAGGTATATCATGATCTCAGTGTGATTGGGGAAGGGATATTCAACAGTCTGATTTGTTACTTAAAATCTAAAAATTTCAAGTAACAATGCTTAAGAGTTTGCTTTATCAAAGACTAGCATGTGTTATAAATATGTGAGAAGCACTGTACTGCAGACAGGTTTTCTCATACTGTTCCAATGCTTATCTCCTTTTGAGAATCTGACTAAAATGAGTTTTCTTAAGACAAAAAAAATCATGGCTATATATAAATGTCTCAAGGAAATGATAAACTACTTTGAAAGCTATCTAGTTTTAAAAAGACTCGAAGTTGGCTCTTACGGTGACAGATTGACTAGAATTCATTCATTTAGGTCACACCATGCAGTTTGTAGGATCTTAGTTCCCCCACCAAGAATCAAACCGGGCCCCACAGCAGTAAGAAGCACCAAGTCTTAACCACTGGACTGTCAGGGAATTTCCAAAATTTATTGAATTTGCTATCATTGATGTGGTTACCCAAAGGAAGTTTCTTCAAATGTTCTCAGAAGTTTGTGTGCTGGCTGGTGAACAAATACAGGGTGATTGTTTTATTGATGAGATAGGAAGGGCCAACCCCATAAAAGGACTTATGGAAAACCATAATTAATCCCCTGATTTTTCAAATTGAGGAAGTTGGCTAATTGAAAGTAACTCATTACATTTTGGAGTCTATCAAGCATCTCTGAGGACTAGATTCAGTGTTTGCCACTTCTGGGAGGGATCTCTAAGCATTAAGATTGGTCAGCAGTCTCATTTGTGAGTGCTGAAGTCTTTTGTAGGAAAGTAGCGTTTGATTATAATTCATTCATTCTTGGGACTTCCCTGGTGGTGCAGTGGTTAAGACCGAGTTCCCAATGCAGGGGGCCCGGGTTCAGTCCCTGAACTGGATCCCACATGCCTGCCACAACTGAGGAGTCCGCCTGCCACAGCTAAGACCCAGTGCAACCAAATAAGTATTTTTTAAAACAATTGATTCATTCTTGTTCCTCTGATGAAACTGGAGCCTAGATAATCTGAAGCAACTATTCATTCTCATGAGAGAGCTTTTCTATGGTATTTATTTTATTTATTTGGCTGTGCCGGGTCTTAGTTGCAGCATGCAGGTTTCTTTGTTTCAGTTGCAGCTTGCAGGATCTTTTAGTTGCGGCATGTGAGATCTAGTTCCCTGACCAGGGATGGAACCCGGGCCACCTGCATTGGGAGTGTGGAGTCTCCGCCACTGGACCACCAGGGAAGTCCCTGTCCTATGGAATTGAGTGATTACTTTGGTTACCCTTGAACAATGAGACGTATGGGACATAAAAGTTCTTTAGACCACCATACAGGCAGAAGGGTGAAGGGAGGGTGTGACAGTGAGGACTAAAATATTTTAGGGTACTTCCAATATTTTTCACTACCAAGAAACACTAGGTATTTTCTCCCCATAAACTGTATGTTTTGAATGGCTGTACATGTCACATATATTGCTCTCATTATGTAGTGACATTTCTATTAATCAAAGGCATAAAGCTGTCAATCAGAACGTCTACAGTGACAATCAGCGTTGTACCATCAACTTAATAATGCCAGTTAAAATCTAAGAAACAATATTTTCATTAGCTTGTACAGATTTTTTTTAATGTGTGATTTCTATCAGACAAAATACAGAAAAAAAGTCCAAGAATTTTTATTACTTCTTCCTAGGAGTTTAGAACTATACCTAGCACATCATTTGGAGATAAGGACAAACAAAAGGCATTTTTGAGTGTGTGTTACTTTCATAATCTGGAAAAAAGTGATTTTTAAAATATTTTTATGGATATAATTATAATTTTTTAATTATGCATTTGAATGACTTCAGAAATAAAGAGACCCCCAAATTACACCTTTGATCTCATTCAAAATATGTCTTATTTTTTCATGTATTTATTCTTTAGTTACAATCCATGTAAAAATAGGACTTAGAGCCTGTCATAACTAAGAATATCTCCACTTTGACCTATCGTCACCACTCGCCCAGCTTGTGGGATCTTAATTCCCCGACCACCAGGGATTGAACCGGGGCCCTCTGCAGTGAAAGCGAGGAGTCCTAACTACTGGACCGCCAGGAAGTTTTCTTCCCTTTTTCATTTAATTAAAGTTATTTTAATTGCTATTAACATGATGCTTTAGAACACCAAGATATAGACGTGGCAAAAGGGTTTTTATTTTCCCTTGATTCTCCATCCAAGACAATAACAAATTCAGACATAACATTCCATTACCAATTCACTGATTGTGGAGTTTGGTTTTTTTGTTTATGTTTGTTTTTCCCACGTATCCCAGACCCCAGGAGAGAAGGGTCTTGGTGTTGGTGGCAGGTACAGGGATTTTTCACCAACCCATAGCCAAGATTCATGGTACTACAATTGTAGGGTTTTGGTTTTGTATTTTCTTGAACGTGAATCTTTTAAAATTCTACTGGTGTTAAATATTTGCCACTTGGTGAAATAAAATCATTCTTCTCTTCATTAAAGACCAAGGAGCAAATTTCTCTCTCTGCCTTTAGTAGAAAAAATCAAGCAGACACTCTTAACCAGGAAATATACAGGCATTAACTACTGCTCTCTTGACAATTCTCCTGGGAAAGGTATGCAGACTCTTAGTATAACTTGATTAAGAACAACGGTCACAGTTGATTAACTGCATTTATTGCGTAAGAAAGTAAAAAAAGCATTACATGAAGATGTCAAAGGTTTTCAGAATTACTCGATAAATCACTGCTAAGATCATGCCCTGTTTTTTAAATTTGCATTACATATTTACATTTCCATGCATTAGTGCAGTCCTACATATAGTGTAAGAGTATTCAGGTGTACATATATACCTAATAAGATAAAAGGCATACAGGCCATACAGGCATACATATACTTTAAAAATATTGCAGGTAAAGTTCCAGACGATCGCAATAAAGCAATACGGTGAGTCACACAAATTGTTTTTGTTTCCTGGTACATATAGGTTATGCTTACACTATAACTGTAGTCTATTAAGTGTGCAATAGTGTTATGTCTAAAAAAACAATGTATACACCTTAATTTAAAAATACTTTATTGCTAAATAATGCTAACCATCATCTGAGCCTTTAGTGAGTCATAATCTTTTTGCCAGTGGGGGTCTTACCCGGATGTTGATGCTGCTGACTGATCAGGGTGGTGGTTGCTGAAGGTGGGTGGCTGAGGCAGTCTCTTGAATAAGACACCAAGGAGGTCTGTCTTTCATGAAGGATTTCTCTGTAGCATGCAAGGCTGTTTGACGGCACTTTACCCTGCTCAGTAGAACTTCTTTCAGAATTGGAGTCAACCCCTCAAACTCTGCAACTGCTTTACCAACTACGTTTATGTAATATTCTAAATTCTTGACACAACTAGGGCAACTCCCAGGCTCTGGTGGGGGACGTCGGACCCCTAAAGGGACAGGAAAAGTACCCACACAACCAGGTAGGACGTGGCAGGGAAGGAGGGGGGAGAGAAAGTGGAGGGAGCAGGGGACTGGCACCCGTGAGGGGTGGCTGGGGAAGGAGAGGGGTTCCATGACCAGAGGGGGAGCCCACCCATGGTGCAGGGATCAGTGGGGACAGAGAGAGACCTCTGGGGGATTGGGGGATCAGAGGGGAACGCAGCTAGCATCTCCCCTGACTGCTTGGGTCCGGCAAGCCTGCTGGGGTCCCAGGCCTCTACCTCCACTCTCTGGGGCCCCCACTGTCTAGGCTGAGCCTAAGCCATGACCCCAACCCCACAAGGCCTTTTCTGGCCATGAGGGTCCTGCGCCTAGGCCCCACCCCCAAGGCTTCTTCTGGCCTTTTTTTTTTTTTTTTTCTGTAGTGGTTCTGTTTTGCCTTGTCATTTCATTCGTATTTTTATTTTTTTCTAATATATTTTTTATTTTTCTAGTTTTATTTTTTATTCTTTGTTATTGTTATGCTCTCATTTTTTTTTTTTTTTTTTCTACACCGCATGGCTTGCAGGACCTTGGTTCCCAGGCTGGGGGTCAGGCCTGAGCTCCTGTGGTGGGAGCACTGAGTCCAAACCACTGGACTAACAGAACCTCAGACCCCAGGGAATATCAAATGGAGTGAGGTCTCCCAAGGTCCTCATCTCAGCACCAAGACCCAGCTGTACCCAAGTGCCTGTAAACTCCAGTACTGGATGCCTCAGGCCAAACAGCCAGTAAGACAGGAACACAGCCCCACCCATCAAAACAAATGAGATGACAAAAAAATACATTACAGACAGAAGGGCAAGGTAAAAACCTGCAAGACCAAACAAATGAGGAGGAAATAGGAAACCTACCTAAAAAAGAATTCAGAGTAATGATAGTAAAGATGATCCAAAATCTCAGAAATAGAATGGAGGCAAGGATTGAGAAAATACAAGGAATGTTTAACAAAGACCCAGAAGAACTAAAGAACAAACAAACAGTGATGAACAAAACAATAACTGAAATGAAGAACACACTAGAAGGAATCAATAGCCGAATAACTGAGGCAGAAGAACAGGTAAGTGAGCTGGAAGACAGAATGGTGGGAATAACTGCTGAGGAGCAGAATAAAGAAGACAGAATGAAAAGAACTGACAGGACAGGCTCAGAGATTTCTGGGACAACATTAAACACACCAACATTCGAAATATAGGGGTCCCAGAAGAAGAAGAGAAAGAGAAAAGGTCTGAGAAAATAGTTGAAGAGATTATAGTTGAGAACTTCCCTAACATGGGAAAGAAAATAGCCACCCAAGTCCAGGAAGCGCAGAGAGTCCCAGGCAGGATAAACCCAAGGAGAAACACACCAAGACACACGTTAATCAAACTAACAAAAATTAAATTCAAAGAAAAAATGTTAAAAGCAGCAAGGGAAAAGCAACAAATAACATACAAAAGAATCCCCATAAGGTTAACAGCTGATTTTTCAGCAGAAACTCTGCAGGCCAGAAGGGAATGGCATGGTATATTTAAAGTGATGAAAGGGAAAAACCTACAACCAAGATTACTTTACCCAGCAAGGATCTCATTCAGATTCAATGGAGAAATCAAAAGCTTTACTGACAGGCAAAAGCTAAGAATTCAGCTCCACCAAACCAGCTTTACAGCAAATGCTAAAGGAACTTCTCTAGGCGGGAAACACAAGAGAGGAAAAAGACCCACAAAAACAAACCCAAAACAATTGAGAAAATGGTAATAGAAACATACATATTGATAATTACCTTGAATGTAAATAGATTAAATGCTCCAACCAAAAGACTGGATAAATGGATACAAAAGCAAGACCCGTATATGTGCTGTCTACAAGAGACCCATTTCAGACCTAGGGACATATACAGACTGAAAGTGAGGGGATGGGAAAAGATATACCACGCAAATGGAAATCAAAAGAAAGCTGGAGTAGCAATACTCATATCTGATAAAATAAACTTTAAAACAAAGACTGTTGGGCTTCCCTGGTGGAGCAGCAGTTGAGAGTCCGCCTGCCGATGCAGGGGACACGGGTTCATGCCCCGGTCCGGGAAGATCCCACATGCTGTGGAGCAGCTGGGCCCATGAGCCATGGCCACTGAGCCTGCACGTCCAGAGCCTG